CTAATTTAGCTAATACTAGCTAACTAGTTAGCTTTACTAACTTACTAAATACTAACTAGTTTCCTAAATGTAAAATTATCATTTAATGATGGGATTTATTTATTTATTTATTTATTTTTATTTATTTATTTATTTTTCTTTTTTGGTCTCCATATAGCCCCAGATGGCCTGGAACTTGCTATGTAGACCAGGCTGACCTGGATCTCACAGAGATCCACAGGCCTCTGCCTTCCAAGTGCTGGGATTAAAAGGGTGTGCCACCACACCCAGCAGGAACTTATTTTTAATAATGAGATCAATTACATAGTATGGAGTATTCCAAAATATGTTGGATAACTAAGTCCTAAACTTAAAACATAAACTATTAAGTGAGGATTGGGGAGAATGCTTAATGGGTAAAGTGGTCTCTGTGAAAGCACAAAGACTTGACTTTGGATCCCCAGCATCACCCCACATAAAAGCCAGGTGTGGCAGCCCAGCACACAGTTATGGCAGCATAATCACAAAGCAGAGAAAGGGAGACAGAAGGATTCCAGGCAGCCAAATCAGGGAGCCTCAGGGATAGAGCCTGTCTCCAAAAATATCAAAAGAAGTTGAAGAAAGCACTTGGCATTGACTTCTGGCCTTCACATGCATATACACAGAGGTGTGCATATACCCACATGTACATGTGTACACATGAATTAAAGACACACACAAATATTAAGCTCCAAAAGCCCCTTCCTAGTATTTGTTCTAACCCTACTATTCTATTTAGCAGTTTTATGAGGCACAAGATATGCATTAGCTGCAGAAATTGGAATAACATCTTTTACCCCAGTTCTGGACTCTTTCTTATAAGACATATGTCAACATGATGTAATGATGGCAGCCTTTCAGTCACAGTAGTATCTATTACTATAAGTTTTTAGAAAAGTAGCTTAATTAGTCTAAAATTCAAATTTCCTTATCTTGGAATGAGAAAAGTATGGTAGCTAATTCATCATTTGTTATGGAAATTAAGTGGCATTACAAGCCTAAAGTAGCATACTACATTACACATTAAATCCTCATTAAGTATTACTGCCAACTATTTGGTTAGTATCAGTGTGTATACATAGATCTGGCAACTTGGGGCACAATACAAGGAAAGATTTATAATTGTTGTTATTTAACCTGAATAAAATATTCTTGTTATGGTACCATGGATTATAGAGCAATCTAGCACTTCTACCTATTTTCTGCCAAAAATCCAGGAAGGCTAAGCCTCTCAGAGAGCTTTGTCTCATGTACATTTTTGTTTGTGTTCCCTAAAAGAAAGAGCTTTACACAGGAACAAACTAAATTTTCAAACTTGTCTTAGCATTAAACATGGTTTTGCCTTAAACTTGGTAAATAAATTTCAGTTTGACTCAAAAGAAAGAAACCAAGTACACTATCATGTATAGCTCATGTAAAAAAGAAATATTACTTCTGTAAGTGAATTTAGAGCTATTACTTATTTAAGATAAATTTCATTTCTAAGAGATTTATTTTTATTTTATGTGCATGTAAACACACCGTGCACATGCAGTGCCCAGGGAAGTGAAAAGAGAGCATCAGTTCCTCTGTAACTGGAGTTACAGGCAACTGTGAGCCACCATGTGAGGGCTCTAGGACAGCAGTGAGTCCTCTTAACTACGTACCTGTTTCTCCAGTCCTAAATCTTATTTTATTTGATTTAATTAATTAATTTATTTATTTTTATTTTTTAGAAAAAGCACTTAATTACCACTTTAACATACTCAATAACAATTTCCAGAGCAAAGATTAAATCTTATTTTAAAATAATTACTTTTAATGTACAAATGTAAGGACTACTAAATGATAATTTAATACATGTGTACACAGAATGTAATGATACAAGTGGGCTGTTAATATTTTTATCACTTAAAACTATTTTCATCAATTTTTCGGTGCTAAGGATCTGATCTCAAAGAGCAGTACACATTCTACCACTGAGCTATATTTCCAGCCCTTGGTGTTTTGAGACACAGTGTCACTATGTACCTTAAACTAGCCTTGAACTTGCTGACCTGGAACCGATGATCCTCCTGCTTCCATCTCCTGATACTGGGGTTTGAGATGTAAACCATAACACCTGTTGAACTTCTTGGAGACTACACAAAGCTGTTCATTTAAAGGGGCACTCTTCCAGTTGGGAATCAAGATATCTACAGCAGAAGAAAATTGTCAGTGTGAGGCTGCAAGTGATGAATGCTACAGGAACAGAATGGAGAGTCCTGAAAGATCAGTTGTCCAGAGACAGTGAATCTCAAACTCTCTTGTGTATCAGTAGAACCTGAAGAATTTGTGAGAACACAGATTATTCAACCTCATTCTCAAATAAAAAGATCATTTATGCTGGGGAGCTACTTTACACTGAATTTATTTTAAAAACAACATGGCAATACAAATGCTGCTAATCCATGGAGACTATGTGGAGAATCATTGCTACAGGAAGACTTCAGAGAAGAGAGAGAGCTACATGAAAGAGGAAGACATTGGTAAAGAGGACATTCATAGAAAAATTGAACCTGAGAGAGCTTGGGAACATGCTCTGCCTCCACAGCCATCTCAATCAGGAACAAAACAGTAGAGTCTGGCTCTTTGTTTTTCTGATTTCTGCTTCTGGTACTGAATCAGTTTGCACATCACCATTCCTGATTACCTGTGTGTCTTGCAATAATTCCCCAAATAACCTTCCTGACTGCTCACCCTTCGTTCACCCTACAGAAATTAATCTCCAAGCTCCTGCTAGAAATATCTTTTGAAAACACAAATGGGGTGGTATTCCTACTGTGATTAAAATAATACTCCAGAATGCTCAGATTCATCTTTGTGTTCCTGGTTGCAGTTTTCTTTGAGTCTGTTTTAGCCACAGTCATGCATTATGTCTCATCATTCCCTACCCCACTTTATACTGCGTTGTTTTCTGTTGTCCAGATGCCTTTGGTAGAATAGGACTAACATGCCCTGCCAGATGTTCTCATCATCCTTACCATAACAAGTGCCTACTTATTTTCTAAAGTTTGGCTCCGGAGTGAATTCCTCTTGCAGCTTCCTAGGTTCACATATCTAGACCTTATATGCTGTATGTAATGTCATAGTCTGAACTGTTAAATTTGTTTTTCTCACATAACACGGGAAATTCTTTGAAGCAGGGAGCATAGTATTTTCAACTTTATGATTCCATCACCTGGTACATATAATATAGAACTGAACAAACTGAAACAAATAGAACTGTCATTAGATGGAAAGATAAGTGAATGAACCAATATGTGGATGACAAACTGGAAAGATGATTTTGGTTATTACATAGGGGTTCATGTAGAGTAATGAGATATAACAACCACATTCAAGGCAAAGTCTAGATAACTGTGTGTACCAAATTATGGGGTTTTCATTTCAAATACTTACATATTGGGAATATATGAAGTATCATGAATATCATTATAATAAAATATCATTTTAGAAAACTGATCAGAGAAAATAATTATGAACAAGTAGAAAGGAGAAAGGCTCAAAGTAAGGGACCAAATGAAATTTGATGGCAACGTTTCAGGTATTTTAGATTAAATGGGGCATAGACTGTAAGGGTTATTGTAAATAGAGGAGGATAAGTAAAAGTAAAGTATATTATAAAGTCAAAAAGTATTGAAACTTTTTACTTCCTGTTTGTTATATAATGTTTCACTGTGGGGAGCATTTATTTGGTATTCTACTATAGAGTAGCAATACGCATTATCTTTTGTCCCATTTTGTGGTCAAAATAGTAACCAATGTGGAGTATAAGGTTTATCATGGCTTGCTTTAAACACAGGACAGAATGGCAATATATTTATGGTGCTGATGACTACATTTCTCTCTCTCTCTCCCT